GTAGACGTGATCCTAAACGTAATAGCCGAGTCGGACATCAGCTAACTCAAGCTGGGGGACAAGACGCAGTGACACCTCTTGAGCCTACAGAAGGCCGATGGGTTCCTGGCATGATAAATAATATTCCTAGAGGATCAGACGACCTTATACCAATTGAAGTGGTTCAACGTAAAGTGAAAGCTCTTCTGAACAAATTGACATTAGAAAAATTCGATAGTATATCGGATCAAATTATTGATCATGCAAATAAATCTAAATATGAAAGAGATGGTCGCATACTTAAAGAGGTTATTCGACTTACCTTTGAGAAATCTTGTGATGAGCCAAACTTTAGTCAAATGTATGCACAGCTTTGTCGTAAAATGATGGAAAGAATTGATATGGAAATAGTGGATGAGAATGTTAAAAACTCCGAGGGTAAACCTGTTCAAGGAGGCACATTATTCAGGAAATATCTACTAAATAGATGCCAAGAAGATTTCGAAAAAGGCTGGAAAGTGAATGTTCCAGTTCCTTCTAATGATAAAGGTGAGCCTGACCTTATGTCAGATGAATACTATACTGCGGCTAAAGCAAAAAGACACGGTCTTGGTTTAATACGCTTTATTGGTGAACTATTTAAGTTGAATATGCTTACTGAGCGCATCATGCACGAGTGTATTAAAAAGCTGTTAACAGTCCATGGAGTTCCTGAAGAGGAGGAAATGGAAAGCTTGTGTAAACTCATGACGACAGTAGGACAACAACTTGACCATACGAAGGCGAAAACACACATGGATGCCTACTTCCTTCGTATGGAAGATATGTCCAGAAATATGAAGTTGTCCAGCCGTATTAAATTTATGATTATGGTATGTTTTATTTATTTTTCGTTCATTTATTGACTTATGTTATTCTTATTTAAGCTGATATATTAAATCTTATGACAGGATGTTATTGATCTTCGAAATAATAACTGGGTGCCGCGACGCGATAACAACGCACCTAAGACTATAGCTGAAATTCATGAAGATGTAAGTAATATGTTATGATTAGCAAATAAACATATATATGAGCTTCAATTTACCAATGCATTTGTAGGCTGCCAAGGCAAAAGAAGAGGCAGAAATTTTAAGACGAGCTGCAAGTTCAGGTGGACGAGGTATATACATTCTGTTTCAAATTGATTCAATTCATTTATTTTGTACTTAATCACTCTTCATGATATTTTACAGGAATGCCTAAAATGGCAGATCAAATATCACGTAGCAGCTCTGGTCGCCGTGACAGAAGTACGTCGT